CTGTCACACAGGCTGGAGTGGAGTGGCACTATCCCAGCTCACTGCAACCTCTGCCCCCCAGGTTCAAGCAATTCTCTTGCCTCAGCCTCCTGAGTAGCTGGGATTACAGGCACCCACCATCACACCTGGCTAATTTTTGTATTTTTAGCAGAGACAAGGTTTCATCATGTTAACCAGGCTGGTCTTGAACTCCTGAACTCAGGTGATCCACCTGCCTCAGCCTCCCAAAGTGCTGGGATTGCAGGCATGAGCCACCTTGCCCAGCCTAGAAATGATTCTTAGAGCTGTAGGCCTTCATCATTTTTCAGTTTAAATTAATTAGTTGCTTATAAAATGCACACATAAATAAAATAATTTTTTAAAAATGATTGTGTTGCTGTGTGCTAGGGGTTAGTGGCTTTTAACATGTGAGTTAAATAATGCATTATAGTTTGAGAAGGCCACAATAGTAACAGAAAATCTTTAACTTGGAGTCAGTTACTTAATTACTTACCCAATTATTTGGGTTCAAATTCTGACTCTACTTCTTAACTACCTATGTGACCTTGAATAATTTATTTAACTTCTCTGTGCTTCAATATCCTTATGTGTAAGTTGGAGATAATAATACTTTTGATACTGGTGGGCTGCGGGAGATCCCCAAACGCTGGTGGGACCTTAACTCCAGCTGATGTCCAGGCTCTTGATACCATTCTGAGAAGGAATTCGAGGACAAGTCAGAAACTAGTGAAAGTACCGAGATTTATTGCAAAGTGAAAAGTACACATTCGATGCCTGTAATCCCAGCACTTTGAGAGACCGAGGAGGGTCGATCACCTGAGGTCAGGAGTTCGAGACCAGCTGGCCACCATGGCGAAACCCCATCTCTACTAAAATTACAAAAATTAGCTGGGCGTGGTGGCGTAAGCGTGTAATCCCAGCTACTTGGGAGGCTGAGGCAGGAGAATCACTTGAACCGGGAGGCAGAGGTTGTAGTGAGCCAAGATTGTGCCACTGCACTCCAGCCTGGGTGACAGAGCGAGACCCTGTCTCAAAAAAAAATAGAAAAGTACACATTCAAGAAAGGGGAGTGTGGGCGTACTCAAGAGAGAGTGACTCAGTGGAGTTTAGGGCTTCTACCTTTATGGGTTTCTATAACCAAGAGGTGGAATATTCTGGAAGATTCCTGGAAAAAGGTGAAGATTTCTTGGAATTGTGGTGCCACCGACTTTTACACCAAATACAGGTGTTCACAGAACAGTCGCGGCACTGGTCTATGTGTGCTTTAGTATGTTAATGAGGTCCTAGGTGAAATCTAGGTCATATCCAGTGCCATGCTGGGACCAGCCAGTCTTAGCCAACTTGGCTCACACCCTGGTTTTTCAGGATCTTATCAGCCCCTAGTTTATGCAGCCATTTCAACAGTTTCCTTTTTGCTAATCATGTAAAACTGCTGCCTGGAATTTTCTGCTCTTCTGTGACCACCCTATATTATTGCTGTCTCACTTTCACTTCACAGGGAGGTTGAGAAGATTAAATGAATAAATAACATGTATTAGTCAGGGTTCTTCAACAGGAG